GTGAGAGCAACAATATTTGTTATTTATACATACTTATATATATAATTTATTTCGCATATCCTTGCATTAATATTATTTCATGCTTTTCTATTTCCCATGCTCTCTAATAATATCACTCTATACTACCATCTATTTATTTCCAAGCATCTTTTAACAAAATGTAGAATTGATGAAAACGTTATTATCCAATGTATTTAGTTAAATTTTATTCTGAATCTTATATATATCATCATCGTTATATATACCATAAAATTTCATCACCTTAATACTCGTGTGTGCTTCTAACTACTATCATTTCGTTTTTACAACAAATAATTTTGAAAATTCCAATAGAAAAATAACATTATACACAGTGTATATATCCTTGATATTTAAATAAATATAACGATATATATGAATATATAATTTTACATGAAAGCTCATACTTATATAAAATTGAAATCTTTTTCAGGCTAGTCATCGACATTAGCCATTAATTCCAATTTAATTCATCATCATTCAATTTTTTTCCTCTTCTTTTTTCTTTCTATATATATATATATTTTATATTAGATTCGTATAATTACATAATATATCTTCTAATATATATCACAACATATGTATATAGTACATTTATACGTACACACACAAAATACATACAATATTGTATATGTCCTTATGGTCATGTTTATAATATTAAAATAAATTTCAAAACTGAATGAAATGCATTGTATAAATGTCCAAATAAAATTTTCGTACGCCTACATGTATGCAAATTAATGTTTATATAAAATTTATACATATGTATGCACATATTATACTCTGTTATAATGCAGAAATATACCATAAATGTAATGCATGTGAATGTGGTATAAATGGTATTTATGGTTAACATTTGATGGTAGAAATACCATAATAAGCATCCAGTAGCAGTTATTCACATCATTTCTGTGCTATTATAATTTTTTTTTTCTTTTTTTGTTTTCATTCCTGTTTTTCTTTTCTATAAAATGCTGTTTTAAACACTATCATCAATCTGTTTACATCTTCCATTCTCTTCGCCTCTCTTTACTATTTCACTCGTAATACTCTATATTACTTCCCTTCAATTGGTTTTCCATTCTCTCCCACAAATTGAATATGAAAATTTTATTTCCTCATTGTTGTTTTTGTTTTCTTGTTTTATATTTTCGTCGATTCACAGAATCTCTCAACTCACACAATAATAATAATAATAACAGCAAGACAAACGGAATAAAAAATAAAAGTTCACAATTTTAGAGTTAACCACCAAGGATAACCAATAACATTTTCAATGTGTGTAGTTTTAATACATTAAAAAACAAAAACACAAAAAAAAAACAGTAAAAACGAAATGGAAATAAACCAATCTACCAGGATAGCCAGATGACAAAAAAAAGGATAAAAACATTTCTTTTAATTTTTATTTTCATTTTTCAGAACGAGCAACAAAAAAAACTCAAAACCAAATATAAGAGAAATAAATAAAAATCCACTGCCAACTGCCAAAAAAAATTCTTTTTTTATTCTTATTTTAACTCGGAAAAAACTGCTTAAAAAAAAATACGAAAAGGAAAACAAGTGAAATGAAATTAAAAATAAACAATGAGCAGAGTGAAAGAGAAAAGAAAATTCAAAAAAAGAAAAAAAACAAAAATGGATCTGAAGCATTGGTCATTAACACCACCGCATTTTACAATTTTTGTCTGACACAAAAATGTGCATCGTGGTGAATATATTAAGATAAATATTATGATCGGAAATGAACACACATACATCTCTATATAACAAAAATTTACGATAAAACAAAATTTATGTTTACAAAATATTCCGTCAGAGAACGTTTATCATTTAATAAAATTTGACAATTGGGCAATTTTTTTTTAAGTTTATGAAACAAAAACCAGTGGTTTTTAGAAAAATACAACGTATAGAGTGATTTACAGGTCTGAAATTCACACACACATGTCTATATAACAAAAATTTACGATAAAACAAAATTTATATTTACAAAACATTCCGTCAGAGAACGTTTATCTTTAAATAAAATTTGGCAATATTCAGCAATTGATTTTTGTAAAAAAAAAAAAATTGTGAATTAAAAACAATGGTTTATAAAAATTTACGGGAATAATTAAATTCCCATTTGGCCATACGGAAGCAACACGGTATTTAGTCAAAAATACATACATTATTTTGCATTACTGTAATGAATTAGTGTTGATGTGTATGCTGAGTTCACAGAATACCTTGTATTTAACCACAAATACGTGCACATACATAAATATTGTATTACATTTAAAATATTAATAGCATTGTTTTTTTTTCCACAATTTCTCCTTAACTTTTTTTTGCAGTGAATGTAATTTGGACGCTGTATCGAAAAGGAAAATACAATAAAAAAATTTAAGAAATGAACAGGAAAAAAAAAATTATTCTGTGGTCTTTTTTTTTATGGTTCAATGAATAATTTTTTATATTATTCAATTTTGTTGTTATTGTTTCTGTTGTTTTTTTGTTTTTTTTTTGCTTTTATAAAAATTGTTAAAAAATAAAATTGGAAAAACAGAATGTAATGTGAATCAATTTATGTCATAATTATATTTGCGGTAAATGGGATATTACAGCTACAGAAGGTCGAAAAAATGAGCGTTTCTCGAATTTGTTGATTGTATTTTTTTTCCCCCTTTTTCTCTCTCCCTTTGAATTTTTAAAATTTTAAAGTTCGTGATCGTGACATTTCTGTGTTTAATTTTTTTCTCACCCTCTCTTTCTCTCTCTCTCTCTCTCTCTCTCTCTCTCTCTCTCTCTCTTTTCAAATATTTTTATTTAAAAAATATTACATATATGGCGACATCTGTTTTAATGTAATGATTTTTCATATACAACGTACATAGTTAAAAAAAAATTAATGATATATAACACGGAAAAAAAGAATGAAAAAAAAGTAATGCTCTGAATGACACGCAAATTCTGGTAATATGGTTGAGCTAATTATAATTTACAAATGTTTTTCAACTAAAATTTCACACAATAAAATTTATATTCGTACTTAGGTTAGGGTCATGCAAATTAAACAACGCCCATTATGTGTGAGTTGTCTTTTTTGTACATAGTAACTATATATTGTGAGTTGACACTATCAACTTTATTTTATCTAGTATTTAATAAAACTTTAAATATATTTGTATATGAAAGGTTTCTCCAAGACAATTTTTATAAATTAGTTTAAATTTTTCATAAATACATATATAAAAATTGAATGAGAATTTTATATCTGAATGTCACTAATTTAAATTCTTATTGATAACATACATATGTATGTATGTATGTATATAAAATAAAACAAGTAGCTTATATTGCTTTGAATTAAATAAAGTCACTCATATTTGTAACTAACAAGAATGTATGGAAGTAAATATGAATAATTTGTTGTCGATAAATTAACTAACAAAAATATAAAAAGAAGACAATAGCGCCATTTAAGTCACTAAACAAGAAACAATTTGTATAATTTTTATATTAAAAACATTTTTTCTTAATACTCGTATGTGTATATATGAATTGAAATACATAATGTACATTAATTATTTTATTTAAATATTAATTGCATTAAACATAATTCCACAGAATTTTTCGTATAAGATTATTTATCTATACAATAAATAAGTATGTACCTACAACATACATACCCAAATATAAGAAATTTTTTTTAATTGTTATACCCGTACGAACGTATGTTCGAAGGGTATACTAAATTTGGCCAACCGTTTGGTACGCTAAAAAGTGGTCGAGATATAGGCTCAGGTACATATTTTTGATCAGTGTCGAATTCTGAGTCAATTTATTTTTACAGTCCGTCCGTCAACTAAAAAAATTAATTGAGGTAAATTCTCTTAATTTTCACAAATAAAATTTAAAACTATTTAAATTGGATAAGATCAAGGCACTGGTTCGGATAATTTCCGTACAACTTCAAAATTAATTTGGTTATATCTTAAAAACTTACAAAACTGAAATGTTGCAAAATAAAATTTCATTAGATCTCATTAGCACTTGTTATAGCTACCATACAACTCCAAAAGCTGTTTGGCATTATCTCAGAAATTATTGGAGCTATAATATACAAATTTCGTGAAAACAAGTATATTATTAGGGCTGTTATGTGTGATAAAAATTGTTGAAATTTTTGACTCCTTGTGATAGCTGCCATACAACTTCAATAGTAGTCTCAAACACAGTACTGAAATTTTTCATAAATTATTATGGTAATACGGCAATTTAAAGTCATAGTCTGTCCCATAGTCAAATATAGCATATTTACTCGCACATAGGATAACAAATTCGTACGGATCTCACAGTGTTGACACGTTCAACTCTATATTTTTTCTTAAATTATAAATTTATCAATTCATAAATTATTTGATTATTAATAATTTAAACAAGTAAGCTTTAATTTAATCATTTTAACATAACAAAAGATTTTTAATTTTTAAATAATTAAGAAAATATTTAAACTGATTTACATTTCATTAACACGGAACTTTTTCAAAAATCAGAAGCACCAAAACAAAAAAAAAAGTAATAAAACGGAACCTCGAATTGGCGACTACCATAATTTATTAATTTTTTTTTTTATTATTCCTTTCATTTTTATTTAAGTGGCGCTAATTAATTCTGACATCGAGAACAAACAAAATACATATTAAATAAAAAAAAACATAAAATCGAAACAAATCCGATACAAAACGAAATCATTAACCAAATTACATACACGCTCATACAAACAAACTCAATAATATGAAAAAAAAAATTATAATAAATTTTTTTTATTGCCTGTATACAATTTCAATGCAAAAAACGAAAAAGTATTTTAATAATAACATCAGGAATAATGATAATTATAATAAAAAAACAATAATAATAATGGCAATAACAATAAAAAATATTATTTAATAAAATAATAAAAAAAAAATTAATATATAAAAGTGACAGCTTACCTGTTTATGCATTTCAACATTAAGTCCATATGACATTTCATAATACTGAACAGTTTGTAGCAGTTGTAGTAGTAGCAGCAGTAGTATTGTTGTTACATTATTGTAGCATCGCATGAAAACAAACAAACGTTATATAAAAGAGATGACAGCAAAACAACACAGAGAAAAAACACCAGCAAATTTTATGAAAAAAAAAATGGAAAGAGACAAAAAAAAAGCATATTAAATAGTGAAATTATAAAATATTACATACATACAAGCATGTGATAGACAATATCATATAAGTAGCTCATATCATATAAGTAGCTCTGACAATACAATGTATTGTATATGAAGTATGCAATAACAATGTCGTAAAAAAAAAAACTGAATTTTAATATCTGATGAATTAATTTATGAACTTTTGTTTAAACAAAAGTCATTTAAGAGGATTAATTAAATCTGATATACATAAATATATTATGTATGTATTTACACATGCAAAATATTTATGTTAATTATAATTATTTATTTATTTTTTTATTAACGTTTTTATTTTCAACATATTTTTTTTTTATTTCAATTTAACCTTTATGTAGTTTGTAAGATAATTTGATCAAATCCAAATAAAGGAGAGAGGGAGAAAAATCGATTATGTTGTTATTATATAAAATCGAAAAATGACAATATTTGAACTCTTCATGCTCAATTCAAAAATCTATAATGCAACAAAATCTAATTTGATTTTGGGAGTAAGTAATAAGGTTTGGAATAAAATGCTTGAGTCTCCTTAAGAATAAATTTAGCTAATAATTTAAATATTAACAAATATTTGCCAATCTCTGTATACAAATTGAAATTCAAAGCAAAAGATTTATTTCAATTCGGAAAACACTTAAATGGTAAAATTATGTGATAATTGTGAAGTGAGAAGTTAAGGGTTAATAATTTTTAATATTATTTTTTCAGTTGATCTGTATCAATTTTATCCATTTTTACATTTAAAAAATTATGTTCAAGCATAAGAATTTTTCACTCATTCAGTCGTTTTTTTTTTTTTTTATTGATTAATTTTACAATCTTTTTTTTTTTAAAAACATTTTTAATCGGTTCAATTATGCGGTAGTTCAAATTTAAATTACACAACTTCTTCTTTATTATACTTTGATTTAAAATATGAAATTGAATGTGTAAAAGAAATTAAAGGGAGCGAAAAAATAATAAAAGAAAATTGATATATTGAAAATAAAACGGGTGAAATTTGTATAATTGCATCTTCTCTTTAAAGAGAAACTTGACAACAAGCATTTTTGACAGTGTTGACAGAAGTGTTTTGAAATTAAAACTTTAATTGAATTTTTTCCCTGTTTTATCACATTTAAGATGAAAAATTTTGAATCGAATTTGATTCTTTTACAAACATTCTCCAATTTACTATGTATATTCTCCAATATTAAAATTTATTAAAATTTTTGTGAGAGAAAGAGAGAAAAATCTCAACAAAAATATATGTCAAACGAACGCTCTAAGCCTTATTCTTATATAACATTTAATTTTTGACATTAAATTAAATTTTTTTTTCGTATATTAATTAATATTTTTGTATATAACTATGTTTGTATGTATGTAAATTATTCCTCTCTAGCATCGATTATCATCGTACGATCAAGAAATTTTTCATAATTATTTATTTTTTTAATTCATTATTATTTAATTTTAATTACAATATTTACCATCACATAATGCCTTTGCATTTCCGTTTTATCTTGTGCTAATTTTTCACATTCCAATTTTAAACTGAAAATTAATAATATAAAAAAGAGAGAGAGAGAGAAAAACGATATTGAAAACATTAATTAATATTTGTTAAAATAAAAAAAAAAATCATTATTATTATAGTAATTTTATTTTATTATTATTGTATCCAATATTTTTATATATGTAAACATTTTGTACATACTCAAGTGTTTATACATTTTGCAATATACAAAATGGATAAAAATAAATTCAGAATATTCCAGGATATGTGCATTTATCCCGTATTTTTTTTAATTATTTTTTTTGTCGTTACGTTCTTTATTTAAAGTATTTCCGTTTCTTATTTTATATAAATTTTATTGTTGTTGTTATTGTAATTGACACTCGCTCTTATTTAACTTGAAAACGCCATATATTGAAATACTTGGACCTCATGTTATAAAATAATAATTTAAAAAAAATTTTTTTTAAATTTCTGTTGAGCAAAGAAATAAAGAATATGAAATGAAAACAAGAGAAAAATAAAGAAAAAAAAATAAAATTTATTGTTTATCATATCTGACACTTAAGGCGCTTTTGTTGTTATTTTTTTTTTTCGAAAAATTTCTTATTCATGTCAAAAACGAAATACAATAAATTAAATTCATTTTTTTTTTTGGCTCCGTCATATTTGTAAATAATAAATTACCCAAAAAAAAAATTAAATAAAAATTTTGATTTTTTTATTTTGAGAAGAAATTTTTTTAATAAAGAATTTTTTTGCAAAATTAATTACATTTTCATATGGTAAATTAATTTTGGTTATTATTTGGTTATTTAAAAAAGAATTTTAAATTTTATAAGTTAATAAATATATGAAAATGCTATTTACATATGTATGAATGCGTCGAGCGATGCTATACGTTTACAAAATATTTATAAATTTTTTTTTGAGAAGCCTCATTTTTATTATGAATTTTTATTGAGAAAGCGTCAATTATCCGGTTGAATATGAGAACAAGAGTGTGATGGCAATATATTTATATTGAATTTTTTATTGCCATTTTTTGACACAGTGAGCGGCCTTTAATTCTCTTTTGTAATTTAATTATTTTATATAGAAAAAAGAGAAGCACTACACAGTATCTTTTAATTTTATAATATCTCTGAGAAATAAATGACTTGTTAAATTGAATATGCCTGCCAATAACAAAAGAATTCTCAAATATTCAAAATATTTATGGTTACCAAGGCAACATATTCATATAATAGACACGTTTCATATGATACATAATATTATGCAGTTCGTCTTGTATTTATTTATTGTGAGTATATACAGACGAACAGGTAGAGATTGGAAAATTACGTCGGTAGAATTGGCAAAATGTAACGTTTTAACCTAAACGGTAAATGGCTTCAATATTTTTTGGTTTCTGTTTCTATACAATTATTACAAATGAATATTACAAAATGTAAACTGATTCCATTCATTATTGGATGAAACTCATATATTCCTTATTAATATTTCTTTAATTATAGGTCCGTAAAGTCTTCCACATATGAAGGAAACTGATAAAAGAAATATCGTTAAGTAATCGTAAAACAAAAACTTACTTATGATATTGTGCTTGTAAAAAATTAAATTCTTCTTTAATTCTATCGCAACTTTCAACTACTGTAAATTTGAATGGTTGCCCTGGTTGTGGTGGACCCTGAAAAAATACAAAAAAAACAAAAGGAGAAAATTAAATAAAGTAATAAATTCAAATTAAAGAATAAAAATTTATTTAGTAAAAATTTTTAAATTTTAAATTTTAAATTGTCACAATAAAAATTTTTTTTTTATTTGGAATTTAAAATGGCAGACATTTAAAAGCGTGTAAACAACAATTTTAAATTTCAATTGAAAAAAAAAATTTATATATGATTTTTAATTTAAATTATTTATGTTCATTTTAAAAAATTAAAAACCATATATAAAGAATTATTTTAAGTTTTAATTATATTCGAATTTAATTTGATAAGGTAAAACGCACAAAAAACAAAAAATTGTCCTATTTACCGCGACAAAAAAAAAATCTTGTACTTTCTTTTTGTTTTCCTTCTCGTTTTTGTGCACAAAAAAAAACCCTCACCAAATGTAAATGGCATAAATTTCCTTTTTAAGAACTTCTCTAGTACCTATTTCCCCTCCTCCGATCCATACGATTTTTGTGTAAATTACTCATAATACCTGTGCGACTTTCATGTTCGTTCTTATGCACATTAAATGTAAGGTACTTATACATAATTCACATATATATATATGATGGTGGTAATACATATATGCCTTTTATTTTAATATAAACACTCAAGTTATACTTAAATTCCCTTTCATGAAGAATACAAGAGTGAGTTGCTTTAGTTTTCATACACAAAAAACAAGCACACAAAAGGCAAATCATTAAATCAAATGCCAGAGTAAATAACACCTTTGTTTTCTTTTCTCTTTTTTATTTTTATTTTCCATTTTGCTCAAATTTTTTCCAAAGGGAGAGAAATGTTGGTAAAATAACAATAAAAAATGTTAGTAGAATGGAGAAATTAAAACAATAAAAACAACATGGCAAAAAAAAAAACAAAATTCTTGAAATAACTAGGTACTTGGTTTAATTGTTCTCGTTTTTTTTTCTTCTGTTATAAACTACAAAAAAAAAGCAAAAAAAGAGTACATATAAATAACCGTTATTTACTTCAACTTAACACACACGAAATTTTTGTGTTCACTGAGCGCACAACACAACTTATAGAGTAGACAACAGGTTTTTTATTTGTTTTTCTCCATTTTTTTTTTACCTCAACAAAAGAAAAATTCAATGCTATATGGGTTTGAATTGCATTATTTTCGGTGGGATGAATGTGACGTAGAAAGAACGGCGATGGAAATATATAGGAGGAAAGAGAGAGAGAGAAAGTGTTGTATTAAAGGATATAAAAGAATACGAGCTCAAAAAGTATGTACTAGTTTGAATTTGATTTTTTTTTAAATGGTTTCATTAGCATATCCACATATACACAACAATTATTCTTATAGACTTGAACATTTTTTTATAAAAATGAGTTGGAGGAAAAAAACCAGAATTAAAAAAAAAATTTTTTTTTTTCCTTACTTTCATAAAAAAAATAAAAAAAAACTAGAAAACTTTATACCACTTTTAAACCGTAAATGAATGCAATCATAATGACAATAATTCTCATGATATTGATTATTATACCATGATAATCATGATGGAAATGATGAAAAATAAGAGAATAAAAATATTTACTACAAAAAAAAAAAAAAAGTAGTTAGGAGAAAGCAAAAACGTGAAATAAAAAATTATTCGTCTTCTTCAACTATTTTCTTTCGTCTTCTATTCCACAAGAAAACAAAGCAAATTTCCTATAATATTTCAGTGCACTTAATATAGAGTTTGTCATGAAATTCGGATAACGTAGGAAAAGAAATTTTATTGGAACAATCATATTGTCAATCACCTTCTTCCCCTCTTGCAAATCCGTTACAAATTGTCATTGTATGTTATTTAGGAAATTTCATGTTAATTTCTGATGAGAAAAATTTTACATTTTAAGATTTTGAAATCGACTAAAAAGTATTAGTGGACTGTGTTTTAAAAAAATAATTTAAAGAGCATTTTAAAATCTAAAATTTGACTTGCAAATCTTTAACTTTTTAGAAAATAATTTCCTAACAAACTGTACATATTATATACAGTGTATACGTAAAGTATACAGCAGTGCAAATAACTGGTCACATTTATGAAGTGCAACTAACTACCCACTATGAATCGTATAATATTCTATACGATTAATATAACAGTATAAAATTGAGAACAAGTATAACAAAAAATACCTTTATTGTTTCAAGATTTTTTTCCTCTAATTTTTTTTTCTCTTTTTTAATAGTAAAATATTCTCTGGTATTTTAATTGTTATATTACTGCTCGTGTATTACTCCTGCTGTTATTTTATATTACCTAACAGAATATAAAATTATAATATTACATATATACATATATATGTACGTAGATGCAATGAAAAAGTATAAAAGCTGGTTCTTGCTTCTATAACTGCTATGGTATGGTAAGAATTGTAGTGATGATGGTGATGGCAAGAAAAGATTTTTGTTTTTTTTTTTGTACTTTACCCTCTTATAAAGCATTAATATGTTGATTTTACTAAAGAATAACGGTGTAAAATTTATTCCAAGGTAAAAATAATTTTTTATTTTCGGTTTTTTTCGTTTTTTTTTCGTTTTTTTTTTCAACTACATAAGTGAGCGCTTTTATTCGCTTCTTCATTTTTTTTTTCCCCCGTTTTCTTTCTTTTTCTTCTGCTTTTTCTTCTGCTTTTGTTTTACAAATTTTCTCGTTTTATTTTAATTTTTGATTTCTTTTTTTTTTGTTCTGCATTTAAGTTGGCTTTAAAAAAAAAAACGAAGGCTCTATTTATTATTTTGTGTTTGTCATTTTTTCTTTCCTTTTGATAATGCTCAGTCTAGTGTGTTGAATATACTTCACACATTAAATATACTCCAGTATATATGAACGTATAGGTGAATATGAATATGGTGTATGTATGTATATAGTGAAAAGTAAGAAATAAGTTAACAGTGCAGTGATTTTCTAAGAGGATTTCAGACTTACCTTTAAATTTTTTTTATTTTCTCTACACTTAATAAATGCATGTACTTGTATGTATATGTATGTGTATTTAACTAATATTATAACCGTAAATTATATATAAAATGTAGGTAAAATAAGCATAGAACAACACAATTATATTTGGAATACAAAAAAAACCCCCATTTATTTTTTAACATGCTTGTCAAAACTAAGTAAGTACGTGGAGTCCTTTTTGTTTTGTTTTTTTTTTTTTTTGAAATGCTGATTTATATGAAACGCTAAAAAAATATTATAGTGTGACGGAATGTGAATGAAAGTGAGTGCATGTGTGGTGAGAAAAAAAAATATAACAAAGAGAAGGAAAATGAAATGGAAGAGAAGTGTAATGAAAGAAAATGTGGAATTAAAATGGAAAAACGTTTTTTTTTTAGTTCTTTTTTTTTTCTTAATTGAAATTTAAAGTGCTGTTAACAAAAAAAAAAAGCAAAATCGTTTTATAAAATATGGTGAATAAAATTTTATTTTAATTTTTTTTTTTTAAATTCCTTAAGGTTTAACTTAATTATGAGTGCTTAAGTTAAAAAATTTAAAAGAAAAAAAAAACATTTTAAATTCAATGTTCTTTTTAATTGCATACTTTTAGGATTAATTGCAATTTAATTATCTTGTATAGTATTTAATTGAATTTCTAATTGTTTTTTGGGTTTTTAGTTTGTTTCCTGGTTTACATTGAAAGTATGTGTAATGTTAAGATGGTTGTAAAGAAATTAGCACAAACAATTTTTTTTTTTTAAATATATAGGGTGTGTTCATTTCAGGTACGTTTGTATAGACTCTTATGAGACAGTATTCTTATTAAATATTCACAGTTCAACAGAATGCTCTATTTATTCTATCAGACCCGTTTAAAATTTCTATTTATTCTATCAGACCCGCTAAGAAGTAATAGTCTGAGATCTAGATTCAAGTATATGTTTTTGATTAGCTTTGAATTCCGAGAAAATTTAGCTTTGTCTGTCCGTACGTACGTCCGTCCGTCCGTATGTCTGTCCATCTCAACCATAACTCAAAAACTAATTGAGTTAAGTCCACAAGGAGTGGTAGTTGCCATACAACTTTAATAGTAGCTTGGCTATATCTTAGAAAATATTGAAATCACAAATACTGGAATTTTGCATAAATTAATATAATACGGTTAATTAAAGTCATAGTCTGCCCCATAGTGAGATATAGCATATTTATTCGAACGTAGAATAACAAATTTAAATGGGTAACAAAAAGTTGACATAATCAACTTTATTTTTTTTTTTTGTTTTAATTTACAAATACAATTCATACGTTAATTGGTCTATATCCTATTTAATTAGAATATACAAACAAAAAATTTCAATTTTCTTACAGACTTTTTAATTTTCTTAGAAAAACAAAAACAAAAAATATAAGAACTGCCTAGTGTCTACCTACTCACCGTACTCATCACACCTTAATGTATAATACGGAATTAATGATAAAGAAAAGAGAAAATATGAAAATCAACATCTCTCCTTAAATTTATTTTCTTTTTTTTTTTAATCCTTTTTACGAGTAATACAAATATTTTTTTTTTTGAGCACATACTTTTATACACCTATAAATTTCATATTTTAAAAAAAAAATTTCATAATATTCGGTATACATAAAGTACGTGTTTATGTGAATATTTGTAGCAATATGTTTACAAATCATAACTTAACAACGTTTCTATGTATAAAAGAGCAAGATTAAAACAAAAAGCAAAAGAAAAAATAAAGTAGTTTTGAAGAACTGAAATCATTGAAAATTCTAGAAAAATACTTTATACAATTCTACACGTTTACACTACATATGCACACACACTATAGACATATTCTTATAAAATATGAAGTATATACGTTTCAAGTCATCATAGTCTACATTAAGTACACGTACACAAGCACGCAAACATAACACTAAACTAAATGAATTTGAACGTAGATTTTTTATTTTATATGCTTTGTTAATTTTTCTCACCAATTTAAGGAAATGTGCAC